TGTATAACACCGTAATTATTAATGTTTCAATTTTTGAACTAAATTGAGAACCAGTTGAGGAGTGATTTCAATTGGAATATTTGGTGGTAATAATATTGAAAACAAGCAAAATTATAATTGATAAATTATCTGGATAAATCTAATTATCTAATTACAAAGAACAAGCATTCACCATTCTCGAAGTCTACGATAAATCAAGTTTTTCAACAAATAAACCCTAGTTCTATCATAAATAAAAAATCAATTTTTTTATGAAAATCCTAATTAATTAATCCAAGCATGCAAATCTAGTTATTTGACTCATAGGAAATCTCAATTAGTCGATGTACGTAGTACACCGAATGAAAAATTATACAGAGCAAAATATTTACTATAAGACATTAATTAAATTGAAAAAAAAAGCATACATTGAAAAACATCGGATTAAAAATAATACTATACTTTACTAAAAGTATCTCCCCTAACTTTAATTGAGGATTTAGTAATTCATACGATAAATATTCAAAAACTACAGAAGAGGGGTTAAGAGTAGAATACCTCAAATCAAGACTTACAAGAGTTTGTATATGCATTAGGAACTGAGAATCTAATTAAGCTCAAAGTCTATATTTACTGGGCAACTGTCGTCATCGCATCCGAACCCATGTTTCTAGCCGTCCAGATGCACCTTATTTCCTTTGCCTCTCTATCGATCACATCCAGATGTGTGTTTTGGACCATCCAGATGCACTTGACATCGACTTTCTTCAATTTGCCTTGGTAACTACTGGATGTTGCGTCTTGACACACATGATTCTCTATCCGGATGTGTGTCTTCAACTTCTTTTTGAGCAACTATTGTAAGTCCTATCTAGACATGCTTGATCCATCGTCTGGATGCATAAGACAGTGACTCTTTTTTAGCTCCTTAATGCTTGAGATTTTCGTCTCTTCTTGTTTTTATCTTTCAAATCTTTAACCAAACCAATTTACCTGTAAAAATAGACAAACACTACAAAGTAAAATAAAATTCATAACTCAATCAATTTAATGCTATTAGCTCTTCACTTAATGTAATTAGTCAATTATTAATTTAATAATCATGCAATATTCATGGCTAATCAATATTCATGTTGTATTAGAAGGAGACAGCTACAAGGAATGATTGCCATAAATGTCAAACATCTAGATATAAAAAATTTGATTGTCAAGGAGATGATGCAAATATTGGAGGGAAAAATCCATAAATAAGTTGTGAGGTACTTCCATTTAAAATTGAGGTTTCAGAGATTGTTCATTTAATCAAAATTAGCAACATTAATGAAATGACATGCAACAGACCAAACCAATGATTTTGCTATTGATTCACGTAATGTTAGACTTGGATTAGCATCTAATGGGTTCAATGCATATAGTACAATGAGTATTTCTCATAGCACATGGCCTGTTATTTTAATGTCATACAACTTGCTGCCATGGATGTGCATGAAACAACCTTATATGATGTTGACATTGATTATTGATGATCCTCATACTCCCGGAAATGACATTGATGTGTACTTGCACCTTATAGTGGATGAGTTAATGGAATTGTGGGAGGTGGGTGTTAATACGTTTCATGCATCAAACAACCAGATGTTTCAGATGCGAGAAATGCTATTATGGACAATCAATGATTTTTTGGCATAAGCAAATTTGTCGGGATGGGGCAGAAAGGGTAACATAGCTTGTCCTTGTTGTTATAAGCACACTCATTACCGTTGTTTGAAAAATGTGAAGAAGCTTTGTTACATGGGACATCACTATTGGTTGGGTCAAGATCATGACTTTTGTAAAGATAAATTGTCATTGTATGGCAATGTTAAAGTTGAAATAAATCCAACTTGGCGTTTCGGGTACAAATGTGTTACAAATGTTTTCCCCATATTATCATAACAAATTTGGGAATGATGGTTAGGGTAGGCATTCCAAAAAATGAAAAAAGCGGTTAGATGAGGGATATGAAGATGACGAGACTGGACTAAAATAAAATTGGAAGAAGAAATGTATTTTCATTGATTTGGCTTATTGGGAGCACAATCTGATTCGATATAATCTTGATGTGATGCATAATGAGAAGAATGTTTGTGATAATTTATTGTGAACTCTTTTAAATGTTACTGAAAAAGGAGAAAGACAATCTGAATACTTAACGACACTAGCAAGCAATGGGGATTCGAAAGGTTTTGCACCCACAATAACAAGCAAGTAACAAATTGTATTTGCCTCCTTCATGCTTCACTATGGACAATGGGGAGAAAGACTCATTTTGTAGACTTCTAAAAAAACTCAAAATTCCAAATGGCTATACATCAAACATTTCTTGGTGAATTAACATTAAGCAACGCACTACATCTGGACTAAAAAATAATGATAGTCATATGTTATTGAAATAACTTCTGCCAATTGCTATGAGGAGTTTATTGCCTAAGATAGTGGCTCGACCATTGATTGAACATGCAAATAGATGATCTAGACCACCTCTAGTCTCGGATTGAGCTTACACTTTGCCATTGCAAAAAGGTATTTCCTCCTAAATTTTTCAATAACATGGAACACTTGCCAATACATTTAGCTGAGGAGGCGAAGATTGTCGAGCCGGTGCAATATCGCTAGATATGTCCTATAGAGAGGTGAATCATGATGTATATATAACTTAAGTTTAATGCAAATTCTCTCNGAACACTTGCCAATACATTTAGCTGAGGAGGCGAAGATTGTCGAGCCGGTGCAATATCGCTAGATGTGTCCTATAGAGAGGTGAATCATGATGTATATATAACTTAGGTTTAATGCAAATTCTCTANTTGCCAATACATTTAGCTGAGGAGGCGAAGATTGTCGAGCCGGTGCAATATCGCTAGATATGTCCTATAGAGAGGTGAATCATGATGTATATATAACTTAAGTTTAATGCAAATTCTCTATATCATTTCATGTAATTCCATTTACCATTGATCTGTGGTCATAGGTTCCTCTTCGCACTTAAATCATATGTGAGGACTCTATTGAACAAGGATATTTGGTGGAAGAATGTATGACGTTTTACGTAAGATATTTGCATGATGTCAAGGCCAAGTCGCNTACCATTGATCTGTGGTCATAGGTTCCTCTTCGCACTTAAATCATATGTGAGGACTCCATTGAACAAGGATATTTGGTGGAAGAATGTATGACGTTTTACTTAAGATATTTGCATGATGTCGAGGCCAAGTCGTTTCAACGAGCGAGGAATTATGATGGTAGTGGTACATTTGATGGACAAGGCAGTCGTCCCTTAGGAAATGAGAAAGTGTTTGCCCTTAGTTACATAGAACGACAGTTGGCCCATTGCTATGTGCTAATTAACACTCCTGCAGTTGCACAATTTCAAGAGTAATACAAGATTCTGTTTTCGTTATCATATCACAACATTTAACAACTATATGGACGCTGCATTCAACAAGAATTCTTTACGCAGAGAACATCATGTTGTTATTAGGGGGTCCAATCATCGTATNATTAACACTCCTGCAGTTGCACAATTTCAAGAGTAATACAAGATTCTGTTTTCGTTATCATATCACAACATTTAACAACTATATGGACGCTGCATTCAACATGAATTCTTTACGCAGAGAACATCATGTTGTTATTAGGGGGTCCAATCATCGTATGAGGGATCACAAAGTCGATCGCATTCACAATGATACATTTCATATATGGTTTGTATCCCATGTATGTAACCTAATAGAAATTTATATATGATTTCAAGTTATGCAATGGTGAGTACTCATAGTTATGATGTGTAAATACTTAGATATTAATCACTGGTTAAGACTAGAGTAGTCTGAATGATGTACTATACTACAAGTCTCATTTTAATAGAGATTAGATGCCACTCATTTGGGTTCAAGCTTTCATTAAAAAAAACTTATTAAAATTCAACGGCTAAGTTACCATTAAACAAATTGAAATCAATCCAATAATCTTAGCAAATAAAAAATTTCATGACTTTCTTTAATAAGATTCATAGTGACCAATAAACTATAATGGAACATAGTAGCAGATGAGANTAGATGCCACTCATTTGGGTTCAAGCTTTCATTAAAAAAAACTTATTAAAATTCAACGGCTAAGTTACCATTAAACAAATTGAAATCAATCCAATAATCTTAGCAAATAAAAAATTTCATGACTTTCTTTAATAAGATTCATAGTGACCAATAAACTATGATGGAACATAGTAGCAGATGAGAGAGAGAGAGAGAGAGTTTAATTCTTTCTCAATTCATTGTGTGTGGATCTATTTCACTCAGTTAATATCGATTATATCATTAGCTATGTTTGGATTTGGTTTTACTAATAATATTACAAAATTCAGTTATGTTGTGGGCTCGTAGTGATATTTTTTGATTTCTATTGATCCAAGTTTTGAAGTTACTTGATTTTGCTTAATTTAGAAGTTATTTATTTTTTATTTTTTGNATTATATCATTAGCTATGTTTGGATTTGGTTTTACTAATAATATTACAAAATTCAGTGATGTTGTGGGCTCGAAGCGATATTTTTTGATTTCTATTGATCCAAGTTTTGAAGTTACTTGATTTTGCTTAATTTAGAAGTTATTTATTTTTATTTTTTTNGGCTCGTAGTGATATTTTTTGATTTCTATTGATCCAAGTTTTGAAGTTACTTGATTTTGCTTAATTTAGAAGTTATTTATTTTTTATTTTTTGGGGAATTATTGTTGTGTGTGGACTAGTTGGTCTGTGATTTTATATGGGTTCCAAAGTGGCCTGAAAATTGAGTGAAACAGCTAAGCAGTATTTCACTTATGAATCTATGTAATGATCCATGTTGTTGAAGTTACTTGATTTTGTTTAATGGAGAAGTGTGGTTGTTTTTTGCAATTAGTTTTGTGTGGTGACTGTTTAGTTTGTGATTTTATGAGGCCTTCAAAGGGGTGGAGCTCCTCTACTATTGAGGTCTAATAGCAAACTTTGTTGTTAAATGGAACAGCGCCATTTTGGCCAAGATTCTAGCACACAGCAAATACACAAAATGATGTCGTCCAAGTTCTGCCCATTTCAGACCGCTACAACGTCGTCTTCCACCTTCTTCCACCTGAGAGGGAAGGGGTGCTGAATCTGATGACTCTATCGAATAAGATGGCATCGACCATGGCTTCTCCATTTCTCACTTCATTGTGTTATGTTATCGTACGCACCCCTCACCGCAACGTCGTCACCATGAACGACGATGACAATCCTAATTAGTTGGAAGAATTTTTCTAGAAAAATAGGGCTCTCCAATCCAAAATTTGCAAAGAGCTTGCCAACATGAGCCCATTATAAAGAGCTCAAGAAAGTTCCATCTTTCTCTCTCTCTCTCTCTGTCCGTGCATATTTTCATATGTATATGTATGTGCATTTGTGTACATAACTTGTAGGTGTTTGTTTGTTGGTATGAGTGAAATAATGTATATTAGACTCACTACCAGAGGCACCATATTGGTATAATTGATTTCTTTTTTTTGTGTTAGTTTTTTGAACTTGTTGACCACATAATTGAGGTAAGGAAGATAATTAGATTCACTTTAAGAAAAAAAAAATTGGGTGTTTTTTTAGAGGGTTTTTACAATTGGGATACCTATATATAACTGTTGATTGTTATGGAGATTGAATGGTCTAGTCTTATATTACACTTCATGAGAATAATTTGGAGAACCATTGGGACATACCTAGTATGATATGATATTTTGTTTGGGCAGAAATTGGTGGTCAAGTCTAGATTTTGTTGTCTAGGCACAAGTGAGTTAATGCTCCATTGTCTTTAGCTATACTAAATTTGGTTCATTTGTTTGCTTTGAGAGAGCTAAACAAACAAGCGGTCATTCTTAAGAGGCTGCCTAACAATTTTGTCAAGATTGGAGCTTCTTGTCTGGGGGCTGTTTAATGAGCTACGAGCTGAATTGTGAAGTTCAGAAGATGCAGAATTGTAGTTAACATTGGTTTTGGTCCTCTTGAAGGATTAAAGCCAATTTATTAATTTGCAGAATTCTGAGTTGTGATGCTGTGAAGATAGGATGGTGTTGCAGTCTGGTGCAGTCTGTTGAGCTGCTGTTGTGTTCATACAGTCTGGTGCAGTTTGTTGAGCTGCTGTTGTGTTTATATAGTATGGTGCAGTCTGGTGCAGTCTGTTGAGCTGTTGCTGTGTTCATGCAGTATGGTGCAGTCTGGTGTAGTCTGTTGAGCTGTGATGCTATGCAGTATGGTGCAGTCTGGTGTAGTCTGTTGAGCTGTGATGCTATGTAGTATGGTGCAGTCTGGTGTAGTCTGTTGAGCTGTGATGCTATGTAGTATGGTGCAGTCTGTTTAGCTACAAGTAGTGGGATTTTGATATGAGTTGTTGTTGAGCTACCTTAGTACATTTTGAAGGATGGAAGTTGAAGAGTAGCTATTTCACTAGCAGTTCCTTTTTCAACTAGTTCAACAAAATGGTGTAGTTGTACAGGAGAAGTTAAAGAGTTTTTTCTGCATTTTTCGTAATAGAAAATATGTTTTACTATAACAGTTTTTCTCTATTTTCTGTTAAACAGTTACTATTTTTTCACTAAAATAGTTTTTGTTTTGATTCTTGTAATTTTGAGTTTTATTCAATAAAATTTTCTATTTCTTTAAAAAAAAAAAATTCAGGCAAGGAGGCTGTAACAACAAGATCAGCAGGGTATCAAAACTTTAAGGAAGAAGATTGTCATTTGTTAATTCTTATTTTTTCTTGCATTTCTGGATAAGGACAAAGCAGGGTTTGTCTGCTTGTCTTATTGATTGTAATTCTTTTCTATGAAATGAAGTGTATTGGTTGGTTGAAAATGATGTATTGATGTATTGGTGCATTGGTTGGTTGAACATGGTGCTTTGGTGCATGGTACATAACAAAAATTTACTTGTCCAAGATAACAACTACACATTGAACACCATGAATCATACATAGGTGAGGTCAATTACATAAAAAAACAAAAATGAGATCATGTACACATGTGTTTCCAAAGGGATGATAGATCTTTTAAAACAAAAAATAAGAAGATCCACCATCCACATTTCAAAAGGATCAAAAATAAATTGTCAACCTTGAACAAAAATTTGAAGCACCATCCAGCTTTGCAACAACATCCAGCACTACAGCAACATCAATTCTCCTCATTAGGATAATCAACGACGTTCTCCAAGAAGCGTGATTTAACATTTACTTGAGCATTTTGTGAACCAATTGATGCTTGAGAATTTGATGCTTGAGAAGACATGCTTGAGATTGGATTTGAGTGACTATAAGTTGATGCTCATGAGTAGCTAAATCCATTCATATGTAAATTTTGCTCATCCGATTGAGATACCTTCAAAACAAGCATTCAAAGACATAAGATACAATTAAAAAAAAANATGTAAATTTTGCTCATCCGATTGAGATACCTTCAAAACAAGCATTCAAAGACATAAAATACAATTAAAAAAATAAGAATCCAAAATATCATAACCATAATGGTGGGGTTGTAATACCTTAGACCTATAGAAAGTTCCAATTTTCCTCTTCTTTGGCTTCTCATTCCAAGGCTTCAATCGACCCTAACCCTTGTAACCACCATCTTTCCTCTTCAAGTCAGCTACTTGTACAATGTTAGGGTCAACATTTTCTACTCCTTTAGAGAGAGAGAGATTTTCTATTCCTTCATCACCATCATTGTCCTCCTCAGTACCAAGTGATGCATACATCAAATCCACTTATTTGAACAACTCATCAATACCACGGTTCACCAATTGGTGTGCAAACTTAAGGTTAGAACAATAAGCTGCTAAATTTACCATTCTAGGACATAACTGTCTGTAACATGATGCTACCATCAACTTGGGATCCTCCTCATTTAGTGAGGCACTGGAATAAGGACTTGACCACTTTCTTACATCTCGCCTCTATCTCTGTATTATGTATTAGTTATGAATTCGCTTAATGTTCATCGTGTCTAGCACTTTAAGTGCATGACCACATAATATCCCAATCATTTCAAATTTTCAACAGCTATAGAAAACGGTTTGCTCATTGACATTGATCAACACCATGTACTTTCTCTCTTCATCATACAATTCCACCACAAATTCATGACATCCATCGAACACATTACAAGGACTCGCAATAGCACACTAGAATACATCATATTCATCTTGAAATAAATCAAAAATCGGGGGAGTGTAACATTGAGCTACTTGCACCAACATCGGAGCTCTTTTTAACTTCATGCTAGGCAACTTTTGCCTAGCTTGATATTCCTTCTCTGTTTCCTTATATCTCTTATCAAGCGAACAATATCATGGTATGGCTTTAAGTACTTCCGTAATGTTGAGTTCAAGCTCTCACTTTGTTGAGTGCTCCTCATACCGGCTGTGAAAGTCCGCTTCATATAAACATGTGTTCATTTCTCTCTTAGTGCCCAAGTTGAATTCTTCTAACTATTATCGTGCAAATCATACTCATCTAGCAACAATTTTCAAGCATTAACTAACTCATGCTCTTTCTCGTATCCATACATGCACTCTTTAAATTGCGCTGAAAATTTTGAACCATCCTTATATATGTTCCCTAAGTGCTTTAAAGCATTTGAGAAAGGTTCCAACAGTATAACCCATGATATGTCTCTAGCATTACTATAGATATAACTTTAGCCATTGCTTGATCTTGGTAATGAAAATGGTAACAGGCTTCTTCCCAGACATTGCTCGTAGAAATATCTGAAACAACCACTGAAATGATGTTGTAGTTTCATCGTACAATAATGCAACACCAATTATCACCGTCTCCCTGAACTGGTTGAATCCAATCAAAATGCCTAAAGGTCGGTATTCCTTATTTGTTTGGAATGTTGTGTCAAATGTGACAACATCCCCAAAGTGGTCATAATCAATAATCATCCCTAGATCAGCCCAAAAAATATTTGTTATGCGCTCTTCGGCATCTAATTGGACTCCATAAAAAAATGATGGATTCTTAGCTGCTTCTGCTTGGAAATATTACAACAAACTACTCGTTTCACCGTATTTCAAGTCTCGCCGCCTCCTTTCTCGAATGTAATTTTTTTGGTCTTGATGAGTGAACCCTAAGCTTTCTCTGCCACCTGCTTGGGTACTCAAAAGCTCGTAGGTTGCCTTAAGTGATATCGCACAATCCTCAGCAATATCAACATTGATGCCTTGAGCTACAGTAACTTTTCATTGGGATGGTATCATATGCATACATTCAATCAAGTGCAAAATGTGATAGTGTTGGTCTTCCCATTTAACAACAAAAAATTTTCCAATATCTCTCTTGAGAGATATGCACATTTGAGCGGGACAATTTGTTCTACTCTCTGCCCGAGCCTTTGTTGTTTTCCAATCTCTTTGATCTTTTCTCCTTTGTCCCTATTTACAACATACATATTTTCTATAAATTAATACGTTATCCTTCAAGCTCTTGTTATGATAATCTTTTCTCACACTGAATCTCACAGTTCCACCATAATTGTTATAGAACCTATAAGCATCTTCTTCTGAGTCAAATTGCATTCCCATACATGGAATATTGTCTGTTTTATCAATCTCAACACATTTCATCTCGACTATAGATTATATCCCCTACAATAACCAAATAGTTACACAAATTAAACATAAGATTAAAAATTGCCCATATAAATTTTCATTTGCAAATTGAACAAGTAAATACTTATTTTTTATGTTCCCTGTGAACAAGAAAATCTTATGTATCAAAGTCTATATAACTCAGTTTCACCAAAGTCTAAAACATCAATACCCATATATTGAACAATCAAATATACTCACAAAAACGTAGTAGAAATAATGTTGGTAGTCACATATTTCTATCAAGATTTTACAACAAATTTAAAAAAAAAAATTTGAATTTTATGAAATGGAATTTCATAAAATAATTCTGAAAAAATGTCAACATTACCCACTTCATGAGTGGATTCTTCTTATCCTCAAGAGTTGAATAATGAACATAATGAAGCATGAAGGGTTGAAGATAATGAAAGACGAAGAATCTCGAAATTTATAGTGATAAATTCCAACATAAAAATTTCATCGCTTACATAAAAACCAAAAATAATGGTGATATAACAAAATTAATGTTGATGCAATAAAGATCAT